ATGAGTATTGTCGCAGCCAAGGTATTCGGCATCAAAAGACAGTTAAGAAGGCTCCTCAACAAAATGGAGTTGCCGAGAGGATGAACCGCACCATTGTGGAAAGAACAAGATGTTTGCTTTCACAAGCTAAATTGCCAAGATCCTTTTGGGGCGAGGCATTGAAGACAGCGGTTGACGTGATCAATTTGTCTTATTCCTATCCTTTGAATGGTGGTGTTCTAGAAAGAGTTTGGACCAGCAAAGATGTGACTTATGAGCACTTGAGAGTGTTTAGTTGCTGAGCTTTTGTTCACATTCCAAAGGATGAGAGGTCCAAGCTTGATAGTAAGTCAAGACAATGTATTTTTCTTGGCTATGGGCGTGATGAATTTGGGTATAGATTATGGAATCCGGTCGACAAGAAAGTCATTCGAAGCCGTGATGTTGTGTTTCTTGAAGACCAAACAATTGAAGACTTTGGCAAAAGTGATCAACCGGAGCCAAAAACTAGTGATCTCATTGACATGGATCCATCTCCTTCATCTTCGGTGGATGATGAAAATGGGGGAGATGTGCAGCCACCTATTGAAAATGTGGAGGATGATACTAATGCTAATGAGGTTGAGCCAGAAATTGAGGAAGAGAATCCAACTCAAGAACCGCTACCACAAATTGAGTTGAGGAAATCTACAAGGAACCGAAAACCTTCAAGAAAGTATCCTCCCAATGAATTTGTGTTGATTTCTGATCAAGGGGAGCCTGAGAGCTACCAAGAAGCAATTGAGCATGCAAAGAAAGGTGATTGGAAAAAGGCCATGGAAGAGGAGATGAATTCCTTGCTTGAAAACCACACTTATGATTTAGTGAAGTTGCCTAATACTACTTAGTTCTTTGCCCGAAAGTTGGGAGACTTTGGTTGTGACCGTCAGTAATTCAGCGCCCGATGGAGTTGTCACAATGGGCCAAGTCACTAGTAGCCTGTTGAATGAAGAAACTAGAAGAAAATCAGCAGGTTCCTCTCATTCGGAAGCATTCGTTGTGAGAGG